CCTTTGGATTCACGTCTCAGTCCTGTTTCTTTGGATGCAGTTCTCAGTGCATTCATTTTGGATGTAGTTTTCAGTGCTGCAGAGAGGATTTGTGTCCTTTGCAGGCCAGGCTAAATGCTTCACCATTTGTCCCCAATGCTCTGCAAACCCCCACATACACAAAGATGTCATCATCTGCCGACCGCCAGCAATCGCCGCCTGTTCCCTTCCTGCTCTGGTCAGGCTGCTGACCAAACTGTTTCCGCAAACTGCCACTCATCTGATCCATGCGATGAGACCGCAGCCTGGCTAAGCCAAGCACACCTGCAGCCTATCAAGGCCCCCCTCTTGGCCGGATGTGGCTTCCTCCCCACAGCAAGCTCCTACCCACCACCAAGGTCACCGGGTTTTCACAGGTGCCCATTAAGGTGCCCGATGAGCCGGACCTTCAGCACCTCCTCTGTTCGAGCTTCACGGCAAACGCTCATCTCTAATGCGAGGGATGAAAGATGGCAGCAAAATGAGCTTCCATCAGTTTCTTTCATGAAATATTCTGTTGTTAATTAGAAACATAATTTTTACTAATAAGAAAGCAATTTAGTAAGTACTCTTTGACAGTTCACCATATGCGTGTAGTTCTCTCTGCACAAAATTTCAAGAGATCAATGTATGTGATTTACATAGTAATAGCAAATGAGGATGTTTAATTCAGGTTCAAGGGAAAAAAGCATCTACAGACTAAAGTCCATTTTGGAGTACTTAGCATATTTTTACCGTTTCAGGGAACCACATTTCATCCTTATCTGTTTAATTACTAAATATGGCACTAATATATCTTCTTGAAGTAGCTGAAGATGCTGCATATTGTTAAATGCTTAAAAATGACTTTGGGCACAGAAATGGGCCGCCACTCACTAACAAGGCTAAATTATAATTTGATAATTCCAAGACAAAGGTAATTAAGTGTCCATTAAATGTGAGTAGGAGATATAAATACAGAGGATGGAGCCAAAATGGCGGGACACAGGGATTTAGTTATGAGGGCAGTACCACTTGCTTGGAGGAACCTGCTGATACTTCACTGGCTTGGGCTCTCACTGCTGCACAACGCCGAATGGTCCGCAGACTCCTGTGGAAGTGCGTGTCTGTGGCGTGACACGCCACACTCCAAAATGTCAAACAAGAAGCTGGCATTCTTCTGTTTTACCCACAACAACTAATTATGCTGTTTTTTTTTTCACAAGAAGACCAGGGGAAATTGGAATAACTGATAACGCATATCCTTTTATGTTCTATAAATACAGCAAATATTCCGTTTGTCCTATTATTGTGTTGACCGAATCAGTTGAGAATGAATTTGTTGTAATTTCGTCTTTCAGAAAACCAACATTGCCTTTCGGTTTTGCCTTCGGGTTGAAGCATAAAATTAAATTTATGTAAATTCCCAGCGGTATCTAAAGGCAGGCGAATATCCAGAAAATGACACAAACTATTACTCTCCACTTTTTTTGTGTTTGCGGATTCAAAGCAGAGACGTGTCACCGCCTGTAAAGTGAAAATGGACTCTAATGAGCTTTCAGCCTTGAGACAAGCAGTGCAGTAGGTAGTGTGTATAATTACCCTAATTACCAACTACCCCCATCGTGAGTCAGTCTGAAGAGAATGAGCAACTGATGTGTTTTTAAGTCCCCACATCCTCTTTTTATGCCACGTTTTCAGTGTCTAATTGTACATGCCGTGCTAGTTAAGGATGTTTTCATTATGATAGTATTCCTAAAAATAATATTTAAAAACAGAAAAAAATTGAATACTGTCAGAATTGTTATATGGTATGCACGAAATGCTGAAACCATGTCTGTTAATGGCCAAAGGAAGGATGTGATCATATATCAGTAAGACTGACCTGTTATATAGATGCTGACGTGTGTCTTAGGAGGTTCGGATGCTGTGCCAGTGAGAGGAAGGTTGCTAGTTCAAATCCTAGGCTCACCCCTATGATTTTACTGTTGGCCTTCTGAGCAAGACCCTAAATCCCCAGGGATCTCAAAAATGCACATTGCTTTGGATAAAAGCTGCCAAAAAATCTGATCAATAAACAAAACGTAAGTTTTATGGAAAATGTTTGCTCATTCATGGACCTCCTTCCAAATCGAGGTCCTTCATTTAGCATGGTAAGACTCCCCCCTGACCATGTTCTGGCGAAAGGTGATGCTCTTCACAAGTCCCAGAGAGAACTGGGCCATCTGATAACATCTGCGTTTGGTGTACACAGCTTCTCTGGTGAAGCAGGGATGCGGGGGGAGTGTTGGCAGTCTCAGATATCCCTCTGATCCTGATTCCCAGCTGTTTGCTGCTGTTTTAATTAGAGAGCTCTCCCGGGGAAAGGCAGCATGCAAAACAATGAAGGGGAATTAATGAAAAATGTTACTCATTAGTGCCCCCTACCACCCCGGGTTCCTAATGGTCAAGGTCA